GAACCATTCAAAATTCTAAGTTTCAAACTTGAAATAATATATTAAATATTAAAAACTATGGAAAAGTATAAGAAATATTTAAAAATTATATCAAAGTAAATATTTTTATGTATAAAATAAAATTTTAAAATTATATATATAAATTCGGGTTGGTTTGGTCTCGGGTTGGTTTTTTTTAGTTAAAACCAAACCAACCCAAATATAGTCGGGTTTTATTTTTCAAAACCAAACCAAGTCAAACCAAACCACTAGTCGGGTTTTTTTTTCGGGTTGACTCGGTTTGCGGTTTGGTTCGGTTCTCGGTTCGGTTTTGTACACCCCTACTTTTGAGTGCAGATTGTGATCCAGAAACATCCACGCGTCCTCACATTTAGCACAATTACGTTCCAGATTTGAGTGTGAGCTACTTTCTTCCAGGTTATTGCAGATCTTCTCCTGATTTGATATCTTTCTTTCATACATTCACTCTTTATTATTTATTATAGCTACTCCAATTTTAGCTTGAGTTTTTTTGTATGATGACTTTTAGATTCTGGGAATGTAATAGCTAGACTTCTATTTATTTTATCGCAAGACTTAGTTATGTCATGCTTCTTAATTTTGTGTAGACTTATATATTGCATCATTGCATGTGTGAGATGCTTACGTTTGGCTCATCCATAGGGGGATTGGAGTCATGATGGTTTGGATCGTAAAAAAATTTGTAAGACTCTTCTCTAGGTTGATCATTTACACCAACACCATCTCATAGTTTTTTAGCACTTTCATCATCTATCTCACTAAAGTAGGTTGACCTAAACAAAATAAAATGGTATCATCTTCACAGGACAAGTGATTTATCTTTGGACTCCACTTAGGCATATATATCCCTTGTACTCTTGATCTTCAAATAAATATTCAAACCCCTTGCTAATACCTTCACTGCACTAATGAAAAGAGTTGGGGATAAAGGATCTCCTTGTTTAAGACCTATGAATAATTGAAAAAAAATCAAATGATTGACCATTCACTAAAACTGAACACCAGATTACTTATAAGTAGAGTTGTCAAAAAGGACTGGCCCAGCTCCACCGGGCCCAAGCCTCGCGGGATAAGGAATTTGAAGGGCTAGGGCAGGTCGACCCTTCATCCCTTCATTTGGAAGGGCCTGAAAATGTTCAACCCAACCCAACCCCAGAAGGATCGAGGGCTGGGGCGGGCTAGCCCTTCTTCTTTTTTTTTTTCATTTTTTTCTTTTCAAACTTTTAATTCTATAACATCAAGAAAATGAGAAGATTTTCAAATCAAATATGTCAAACAATGGAGTTATTTCAATAACACTAGCAAAAAATCTAGTGTAATTAGCATGTATCTAGCATACCAGATATGCGAGGGAGATAAGAGAGTGACAAGCAAGATGGAAGGGAAGCGAGAGCGTGAGATTTGTCTATGTATCCTAGATACATGCGAATCTACTTGGATAGAGTGTATCTGGAACAAATTAACCTAATTTTGAGTCTATATATTTCGAGATATATGTATCTGGCTGGACATACCAAAATCTGGTAAAATTCATAATATTAAAACATAGTGTGTATTTAAGTAATTACATTATATACTAGTAAGATTATTGTAAGTTACCCTTAAATAAAAAGTTTTGGCCCATGGGCCGACCCCGATCCGGTCCCAATCAAGCCTCAAGGGCCAAGGTCGCTTATATGGACCGGTCTTATAAGCCCTAGTTTTAAATGGACTTGAAAAATTCTATCTCAACCCTACCCTAATAACTGGTTGGGTCGGGCCGGCCCATGGGCTATGCCCGTTTTGACGGCTCTACTTGTAAGTCTCACAATCATATCAGTTAATATTCTTTGTGAAAATTCAATCTTCTCATTACCTTGGCTAGAAATTTTCAAGACACCCGATAATATGCTTTAGTCATGTCAAGCTTGACTACAACATTATGAAATATGTTTCTCCTATTGATGTCCCTAATTATTTCTTGTGACAGCAACACATTCTGATCAGTAATTAATTTTCCTCCTTTTTATAAAATCAGTTTGATTAGCTAAGATAATCCCTGAAATATCAACTTTAATTACTCTCTCATGTACCACTCTAGAGATTACCTTATTAATTAAAGAACTTAAGCTAATTGGCCTCACTATAAATTCATTGCTTTCAAAAATCATAGCCTTTCAAAGATACTATCTTCCTCTATTTCCATTCCACCATGTGTAGCGACTTCCTGAAAATTTAAGTTCATTTAAGACACAAGAACTTATCCATTGAGAAAAATCAACAATTTCCTACTGAGTCACTAACAAGCCACCCTTTTTTTTAGAGTTATCTAAAATCGTATTTAAATCTCCTCCCACCAGCCAAGGAGTGTTAGTATCTTCTGCAATATCCTCCAAGTATTTTCATAGTTCTACAATGACATTTAAGTAATCAGTAGTACCCCTCAGTTGATAAATCATACTCCCTCCGTCCATTTTATGTGAGGTAGTTTGATCCGGTATGGAGTTTAAGAAAGAAAAGAATACTTTTGAAATTTATGGCCTAAAATGAATGATAGAAATTTGTGTGGCTATAAATCATTTCATTAAGGGTAAAATTGACATTTTAAAGTTAAATTGTGACTTAATATATAATTGTGTCATTCTTTTTGGAATTGATTAAAAAAAATAAGTCATGTAAATTGGGACAAAGGTATTGCATAGTATCTGATGCGCCTTGTTCCACCAATTCTTCCTCATAGAAAATTCAAATTTTAATTGAGCTATTCACCTTAGAATTAGGCAATCCTAAGATTTTCTATAGTTTTGGGCTTTGAAAAGGCTCTAATAAAGCAATGGGCAAAAGTGTTCATTACCTCCCTGAATTTGAAGTTTTTTATTCAGTGTACACCTAAACTATATTTCGTTTTAATTACCCCCTCGAACTTGTTTATTCCTCCATCGCGTGCACCTTTATTGTCCACCTGGCGTAGAAATTGACAACAAACTCTAGCAGGCACGTGAAGAAGTAAATTTTTGCCACATCAGAAAGCTACAACGGTAAAAAAAAATACAAAATCTCCATTTTTTAAAATTTTTTGGCATCTTTTCAGAACTCTCTCTCTATTCTCTAACTATTTTTCTCTCTTTTTCAAATTTCAGAATTTTTCTCTCTTTTTCATTATAATCGACCAACTTCATGTCTAAGAAGACCCAAATCCAGAAAGAGTTCCACGAAATCTGCCCTTTACTCCGCGAAATCGACCAACTTCACGTCTTAGAGAGCCAAAAGCTTTGAAATCTGCAAGAACTTCACGACGTCGATTACAATTCTTAGAGCTAAGGGAGAAGTTTTGAGCTTAGTGAGAAGCTTAGTCCGGAAGTTTTAGGTGAGAAGCTTAGGTGAGAAGGTTTGATATTTATTTTTGCCATATTTATTTATCTAGGTGGCTATTATTTATCCACCTAGAAATCCACACCACCACTTTTGTCAACCTATCACGCGCGTGTAGTCACGATTGAAGTAGGTGGACAATAAAGGTGTACGCAATGGAGGAATAAACAAGTTCGGCGGGGGGGGAGGGGGTACTTAAAACGGAATATAGTT